AAAGCAAGAAAAATCCCAAAAGTTAATCCAAGAGTTATTTCCTCCTGGTACCGGGATAAAAACATGCTCTTCGGAGCTCTCCGGGTCAGACACCGTCGACACAGGTGAACCCACACCAAGGAACAAGGTAAAACACTGATTTTTATCCTTTTGCTCTATGTGCTCGTGGGTTTTTCCTTGTATTCTTATAAAGTGTCTCTGAAATAGTTTTTTTCATTAATAACCTTAATTTTCAGTGCTAGTAGAACTTGTGTTTGAACTGCTATTCCTGAGGGAAAGCGATTTCCTTTGGGATCAGACTTTGGAACATTTCAGTCGCAGTTACCTCCTGCTGCTTCTGAGTTAGTAGATTTTAAAAATTTAATATATATCTGTATTTATTTTAAGAAGAACTATGTCTATTTACATGCAATTTCTTTTACTGGCATTTTACTTATTTTTCCTTGTTTTCTCTTGGGCTCTTCTGTTAAATATTTGAGTTTGTTTGATTTTTTTTTTTTTCTCTTCACATGGAGAGTAAAAAAAAAAAGAAATTATTAAGAGGTGCTACCCGGGGTGGGTTTTTTAATACAGATGTACATTACAAGTGCTATATAAAATAGGTATGTTTTCATATGCATCCCAGTTGTGTTATTTAGGAAAGGTAATGAGTCAATACTGTTTCCCTTGAGCAGGTCTCCTAAGCAGCTGAAATGAAGGGATCCCACTTGTTCCTCTGCCTCTTCTCCATGTCCTGTTGGGTGGATCTGACACCGACAGCTGGGAACAAAATCCTCCACTTTGGAGCCTGCAGGGTTTCAATGAGCATGACAGAGATTAGGGCTGGTTTCACAGCAATTAAAGCCAATATTGTAAGTATTCCTCCAGGCTCTTGTGGAGCTGGGGAAGCTCTTTAGTTGGAAGCTCCCAAAGCCCCTCTGGAACCTTCCCCATCTCTGTGCCCTCCTTTGCAGCAAGCAAGAGACCCCATCAGGACCCTGAGCATCTTGTCCCATCCACACTCCCTGCACAAGGTTAACGTAAGTGTCCTTGGGTGGAAAACCCTTAAAGAATCCAAAAGCAAAGGAATGTGGTCTTGGGAGGTGCATTATATTACAAATAAGAGTTTTTCAGCTCTCTCACACCCTGAAGTGCTGGGTACAGGCCACTGCTTCAGGTCTCAGCTTCTAATACCCAGCTACAAAATCAGCTCTTTGTTTTGTTGACTCTCTGAGATTTGCTGAGGATGGATCTCCTGGAAAAGCAGTCTAAAATAACTTCATATATATATATATATTAGCAGCATAAATCAAGCAGCAATGAAGAAGCTTTATATGAGTTAAAATCCCCCTCTGTGCTCATCTACAATGTGTTTCCTCTTAGAGGTGGTTTATTCTAGAGGGGGGCTTGGTGACTGCAGGTTTATAACCCTTTGGAAGACCTTTTAAAAAATGAAATTCATTCTTCAAGTCTTCAGACAGATGCTGCATGACCCATCACCTCTTCAACTTCTACGTGGACAAGGTTTTCAAGCACTGCAAGACGGAGGATTCGTACGTGAACCGAAAAATCAGCAGCATCGCCAACTCCTTCCTCAGCACGAAGAGGAAACTGGGGCAGTGTGTAAGCCTTGTCTCTCGCTGCAGTTTAACTTCATCTGTTAGTGTTTGGTGTATAAACAAACCCAAGAGCTTTATAAAGTTCAAAGTCTTTATTTATACAAATGGTTTCAACAGGAACACAAAGCAGTGTGATGTGAAGAGCGTGTCTGGCCGCTGAGAGATTTCTGTGCTTGCCCACTCGCCAGCAAACAAAACTCCCACGTTAGTCCTCAAGGATAATATTTATCTTGTCCCTGAGTCTGTCAAGTAAACTGTTCTTAGCTGAAGTCTGATTCAGGGACCTGCAGCCTTTCCCACAGTTTCACAAGGTCTCAGTTCTATAATTCACAGCAGAGTTAGAAACTGAACTATTATTTTTAAATGTAACTCCTCAAACTAATGAATTTATCTTATTTTATTTTTTTCTAGCATGAACAAAATCAGTGCGTGTGTGGGCAGGAATCCACCGAGAAATTTAGGCAAATACTTGCAAACTACGAAGGGGTGAGTTGGTGCCTGAGTCTGGTGATTAACACAGATAATTGGATCCCCTTTACGTGGGTTTGTACTCAGTATCTGTGCTCACAACTTGTTCCTTTATCCCATTCCAGCTGAATGTCACATCTGCAGCAATGAAGTCCCTGGGTGAGCTGGACATCCTGTTAGACTGGATGGAGAAATCTCCTTAGGGAGAGGGAGGCATCAACAACCCACCAGGGCCGGGGCTGATGGAGCTGCTGGGACCTTGCACACCCCAGTGATGAGAGGGACAACAGTGTCCTGTATCTGTGCAGCTCCTCACCCATTCCATCTGGGTTCAGTCAGACACAGAGTGCTTTGCTAGCCAGGCACATCAGTGAAGGCACCAACAGAGCCTTCATGAAGATGGAAATAACGAGTTTGATTAAATCAGCGCTGCCCTTGCTTAGCTGGCTTCCATCAAAGGATGCTCCAAGGGAAAAAAAACCTCAAAGGGTTTCTCTTGCCAGCAAGACATAAGCTGTGATCATGTAATAAAATTGTTGTCTAAGTTATAAATTTTCTGTGTAGGGAATGTATATTCATGCAGGAAATGTGCATTTGTGAGTGCTGAGTGCTGGCTGGAAGGACTCTGGTGCAGTTGGTGTTGCATAAACCTGGGCTCAGTCTCAAGGGGCTGCTGCCACTGGTGGATCTGGCTGAAACCAGGTGCACAGTGTGAGAAATGCTTCCAAGAATAGGTCCTAGAAGGTGTGTGAGGCCTTAGAAATCTGCCTTTCCTTCTGAGATATTTTCTGCCTTATCAGTAAAAAAAGTTTCTGTGCAAGATATGTGGTTGCTGAACAGAGAAAGGCTCTTGTGTGTGTTGTGCAATTTACTGACACTCAGGAGTGAGTTTTGTGGAAATTGGTTGCAATGACTAAGTAAACCCCACTCGAAACTGTGCTGTCAGAATTCTGAGGAATTATGTGATTCTTGGTGGTAAAACTTTCTGAGCTCACTGTGGTGCCCTTGCACAGCAGGTACTGCCACTCCAGCATCCCAGGGGTGCCAGAATGGCCAAAGCTTAGACCTCAGTGACACTAAATCCCCCCCCAGACTGTCCCCAAGACAATTTTTAGTGTGCACTATGTGTAGCTCTGGTCTGTTTTCACTCATTTTGGGCTCGTTTAGCCACCAGAACCTGCACCCACACTGCTGGAACCCACTGCATGCTCTAAATCCCTTTTCCACTGTGTTTTCCCACACGGTGTTAGTACAAATGCTGCTGTAGCAGCTGACAGTGGCAGAGTCTGGATGTTACAAATGAACCAAGACCAAAAGAGGTCCTTTAACAGGATTTTGTTACCATGGAATAAGGTCCTTGTATCCCCAAAGGACAACCAAGTTCCTGCTTTGGTTTCATCCCTATCACAGGAGGACCCTGGTCAGACCTCTGGCAGTAAATCAGATTTGGTGATTCACCTTCAGAGGGGAGGTATCCCTGACTGCTCACTGTCCTTCCTTGACTATTTGTTTGTGCCAAAGGGAAGCCTCTCAGGGCTTTGATTCTTGTAATTTGCTATCTCATGCATTTTTTTCAGTGACTTTCATCTGTCCAGGTGTCAGAGGGAATACACCCCTCCACGCTCTGAAAGGTGATATTTCAGCTCCATCACTCTTGGAACCAACCCTTTAAGACCCACAGGTACAGCCCATGCCATGATTCCCTGTTAAAGAACAACCACTGGGAACGGTGCTGTGGTGCAGTGAGATACCACAGCTCGCCACTGACCTCCCAAAATCAGCTGGCATGTTGGTGAACAGCCAGCTGAAGGAGCAGGGGCTGCTTGGGGAGCTCCCTGTGGACCTTTCCATGGATTGTGGCAGGCTCTGGGTCACAGCTGGAGTGAGATGTGTGGGTTTTATTCCGTGTCCTCAGCTTATGCTGTCACAGTCCTTACTATTGATCCTATTGCTCACATCCTGTGAGTGCTGCGTGCCTCAACCCGTGCCTGCTTCGCTGCCTCCATCAAAACCCAGTGATTTTACACCTTCCCACCCCCTGCAAAGCACGGCAGCAGCCCAGGGTTGTTCCCCTTTGGAATGGAGGTGCCATCTGGAGGTGTCAGCAGTGGGAAGGAGTAGGGCCCTCAGGCAGGATGCTCAGCCCACTCACCTCTCTCAGCCCCTGCTCCTCTCCTGGGAATTGAGCTCATCCCGGCTGCTCCCAGGGCAGGTGTGGGAGCCTGGGGGGAAGGACACCTCTGGGCAGGCTGAAGAGGAAGTGGATTCAACAAAGGGAGAGCAAAAGGGGTTTTCTCCTCTCAGAAATTTCCAAACCTCAGCGTTCTCCTGCCGCTAACCCCCGGGGACACTTTCCAGGCTCACGCCTTTCCTGTTGCACCTGAGTCAGTCATTCACTTCCAGCAACTCCAGGCGGGCACAGGCCTGTCCTGGCCCCTCCCCACCTTTCCCAATATCCAAGCCCCTTCCCACTGTGCTGATGAGGGGATGGAGCCCTGGAGGACGAGGTAGGTGAGCTGTAACCTGACATTTGAGGTCCCAGCAAGGTGATGACTATTGCACTGTGGACGTGAAAACACAAACGCTCATCTCAGCACTTACTGTGGGGGGGTCCATGATTCAGGAATAATTTGTGTTTTGTCCTTGGTGAAACTCAGTGTCTCTCAGGTAACAGCCATTTTCCAGCACCCCCCTGAGCTATGGTTCTGTCTTCATTTCTTTTAAACACAGCTAATACTTTACTAAACTAGAAATATTGTGTGGTGTTGCTGCAACACAGGTCAGACCCTACCCAGGGTGATGTTTTTCATTCTTAATATTTTGTGGTTTGACCTCAGAGCTGCCCTTCAGCAGCACAAGCTCGGGAATCAGGAATTTGAATTTGCAGTTTCTGCCCTGGCCCTGTCAAACCATCTCCACAGCCCTTCTCTTCTCCAGGTAAGGCACCAGCCTATCCCATTCCTGGTGTTCAGGGGAAAATTGCTTCTCTGCTTCATCACTTCTTCATCATTGCTGCTTCCTACATTGCTTTATCTGTGGAATATTGAGCTTTTCCCACCTCTACTGTGTCTGTCTGGGTGTGCTCTCCCCGTGCTCTCCCACGGACCGAGTTCCCTGGTCTGCTGAAAGCCACTGATACTCTTTATTGCTTGTGCGTGAAAACGCTTCAGACCGTGTCTGGCCTGCAGGTGCTGCCCTCAGGTCAAGAAAGCTTAGAGGAATCAAAAGCATCAGATGCTGTTCTAAAGGGTTTTCCAGCTGCCTTTTAAAAGAAAATGGGACTTTTTTAAAATGCCTGTGAGAGCCCACTGTGTTGGATCTGTTGGTGGAATGAGCCACTTGAACTCCTGCTCACTCAGACCCTGCACTTCCAGCCCAGCCCCATTTGGCATGAAACAATTCCTCTTAAATCACCACTTGAAGCTGAATTTAAGCAAAAAGAAAAGGTCAAGCTATAGCAAATTGTGGTAGCAGTGAACAGTGTGTGTGCTTGCTGATGGCTTGGTGTGATCCTCAAGGTAGAGCCGGTCCCAGTCGCTGCCTCCTCTCAATCCCTGACCTTCAGACCTGATCCTGGGGAGGGGACACATCCAGGGCAGGGCTGTCCCCACCGGAGCCACCCTGAGCGATGCTGCCAGAGGTGAGGAGGAAGGTGGAGTAGGCGAGGTCAGCATCCTCCTTGGAGCTCTGGGGAAGGACAGGAGGACACAGTTAGGTGGCTGGGGATGGACAGCAGCACGTGGCAGGGGAAAGGCAGCACTGTGTGGGCTGTGAGGGTCTCGGGGTGACCCGGGCAGAGTGGATGAGTGGGAGGACCCAGAGGGTGACGTCGGTGCCGATGTGAGCATCGCTCCTCTGCTCGGCCCTGGGGACACCCCAAGTGTTTGTGGGTTTGGGACTCCATGGCAAGCCTGTCCCTGTGTGGTGGCATCCATCTCCCCTGCCCTAAAGCCTTTACTGGTTTCCTGTTTCCTATCTGAAGCAGGGTGACTGCTGTTACTGTCTCTGCTAAAGCATGGAGTCAGGAAAGGTCCACCCACAGAGGCTGATCTGCAGCAGGTGCTGGATCCAGGTAAGATAGAGAGAACCTGGATATAAATAAGGCCCCTGGGAGAAGGCAGCCCCTTTGGCAGAGACTGGAGGGCTGTGTCTCCCAGGTCAGTGGGCTCTCTCCTGCCTCCTCTTACCCTTTTTGCCTTCTTTGCCTCGGCAGCACTTTCTGGGGTGTCCGTGGTGGTGACGAACTCTGCAGGGAGGGAAAGGGAGGTGTTAGAGAGGTGGGCAGGCATTTCTGGGGCTTTTGTAGGGTCCTTCTGCAGACCTCTCACCCCAGGGTGGGGCTGGAATCAGCACCCTACCGTCCCCTCCGATGGCAGTCTCCTGGCTCTCCTTCACACAGGCGCTGTTGCTGGCACTGTAATCCTTCACACTCTCGAAGTCTGACATGCTGATGTTCGTCCTGTAGCTCCCAATGGACACCAGGTCTGGTAAGAGAGGGAAAATAAACAAACCCTCTGCTCAGAGCTGGTGTGAGCACGTTGGCACCTGTGCTGTGGGATACAAAGTGCAAAGCACACACTGGGGTGGGCTCTGTCTCAGCTGGGCACTCTGTTCTGGGTGTTGGAGACCCAGGGATGGGGTCAGTGGGAGCAGCAGGGTCCCTTCCCTGCCCATCACATGGTAGGTAAGCAGGAGAGCAGCCCAGCCCAGCAAAGATACAAAGGCAGGGACTCACCAGATCTCTTCATCTGCCTGTATTTAACGACGGCAAAAGCTGTCACCACGATCAGGAGCAGGGCAGCAATGGGGCCCAGCACTAAAGCAAGAGTATTGGAGCCATGGCCTTGGTCAGAGCTGGAATAGAGGGAAAGAGAGAACACTAAAAATGATGTATTTGAAAGTCCAGCACTCTAAATTTGTATGGAATGATAATTCTGAGCGAGCATGATGCAAGTCACTTAATGGACTGGATCCTAGCACTGGATCCTAGTAAAATAAAAAAAAAGACAAACAAAAATACAGTATAGAGGTTGTGCCAAAATAGCTGCATCAGCAGCTTAGTTATAAATGTGTGAAGGAAAGTCCTCCAACCTCAACAGAAGTACTTTCAAGCAGTTGTTTTGTATCTGGAATCTCTAATCTCTAATCTTCTGGGGCCATTTTCTTGAACTACAGATCAATTTCAAGTAACCTTGCCCTTTGCTGTAACTTTTCCCTCTCCTTTTCCTCTGATGTTTTGAGCAGAGTTCTTTTGGGACAAGAACTTTTTTTGTTGCTAAACCACACACACACGGTATACAGAGTACCCACAATGGGTTGATAGAAACCTCACGAAAATCATCAATGGCAGAGCAAGGAGAGAACCAACCTTCCTGGGGCAGCTCCACTTCTCACCCCAGAGTCACTGTAGGCTCCTCCTCGGGGTCCAGGGCCGGGCTCAACGTGGTTGGGGAACTCAGCATGGTCAGGGAACTCAGCATGGTCGGGGAACTCAGCATGGCTGGGGAACTCAGCATGGCTGGGGAACTCAGCATGGTCAGGGAACTCAGCATGGCTGGGGGCATCAACATCCAGGAGCTCTGGGCTGTGCTTGGCATCGTTTCCTGCTGTACCCCAGGGAAGGAAGTGTGATTAGTGAGCAGCAGCACAGAGATGGGGACACAAAAACCAGTTGGATGTGTTGGGTTTTGGCTCCACGTGAGAGTCTTTTTAAAATGGGGGTTTGAGATCGGAAATAATGTCATTCCAAATAATTTACTTCAGAAATCTCAAGTAGACTCTCTCTCCCTAGAAACTTTTGAAAAAGTCTTGCATTTCCGAGTTCTGCCTCTAATGTTTCCAGAACAGATTTTGAATATTTGCTTTGCTTTTATTTCTAGCTCCTTGACCCCCCTAAAGGCAATGAAATGAGGTTTTCACTTTGACCATCACCCACTTAGGATGGCTAAATATGGGATATCCAGTGCTCTGCTTCTTCCCTGCTTCTAACAATATTCCTCCATGAGAAAAACCATCTTAATTCCACAATACTGCACCAAAGCTGAGACTAAACCCTCTGCTGTTGGTTTTGGTCTTTCCTCTCCTGTTGCACACTTGTTTCCTAAGATAAGAAGCTCCCTGGAGCAAGGTGAGTCTCTGAACTACATCAGTTCTTCGCATCTGGTGAAGATGTGACAGATGTGGCTTAAACTAAATGATGCTACAAATTGTAACAGTAAAATCGGCACGGGAGGAAGTGAGATTTAGGCTGGTGGGGACCAGGAAGCCAAAAAACAACGAGTGGATGAAAACACTAAAGGCAAGTTGTGCCAAGTTGGGGTGATGTCGGCACCTCGCTGGGAGGCTGCCTGGGCGAGCAGCACTTGTGTTTTGAGGTGCTGCAGCCTAGTGGCTACGGAGAGGACTGGCAGAGTGATCCAGAGCCCTGGCGAGCAGGAAAAACCTCTGCCTCGGGGCTCACCTGCAGTCACAGACAGCTTCACTGCCATGGTTTCCCCGAAGAGGCCGTTGCGCTTCACCCCGCACCAGTACCACCCTGCGTCCTCCTCTGTCACCGAGTCAAAGCTCAGGATAACTGTCCTGTTGGAAGTGTTGCAGGTTGCCTCTGGCCCCGGCTGCCTCACATCAGAGGCTGGCATCATGGAGCAGCCGCTGGGGCTCCACTTGCACCAGTACTTCTCGTAGGAGTAGTAGGCGCACGGGTAGGAGCAAGTTAAGTCGACCCGTGAGCCCACTCGCGCCTCCACTTCCTTCTGTCCTGTCAGCTGAGGTTTTCCTGCAAGGGCAAATGGAACATCAAGGCTGGTGTTAGTGGTTTCAGCGCTGGGAATGTCAGCCAGCAGGTAGTGGTGCTGCTACAGATGGATCTTTGAGGGAAAGTGCTCCCTACATCGGTAAATTAACGCTAAGGATGCTGTTTATGCATCTCTGGGTGAAAGCGGGGTGGGGGGTGGGGAGCGTGGGTTTCTTGCCAGGCTTAAGAAATACTTGCACAAGAAATTTTTTGTGAGCACTTTCTCTCATAAAACTGAAACCACGTGTTTCAATTTTAGAGCCACTGAGGTGAGTTCAGGCTTGGGTCTCACATCTCTTCTCAAAAGGCCAGATTTGCTCATTTAGGGTGCTCAGGAGGTCGTTTCGTACCTACTGAGCGGGCAGAGAACTGCCAAAGGGCCACCTCCTACCTTCTGTGAGCTTCAGTTCAGCTGATGTTTGCTGTTCCTTCAGTTCATTTGTTATGCACCAGTAATAGCCCTTGTCTGCCTCATTCAGCTGGTTCAGGATGACGGTGACTGTCCTGTTATTTGGGTTCTCAAACATGGCCACTCTTCCCTCGTACTGTGGCTTCACATAACCTGTGTTGTCTATGATCCTGGTATATTTATCCGATTTCCACTTGGCCCAGACCCTCGTTGAGGACTTCTTTAGAGGCTCATAGAGGCATTCGAAAGTTGCTGAACCTCCCTCTGTCGCAGTTACCGTGGACTTCATTAGAGGGAAGTTTTTGTCTGTCGGTAAAAATGACATGAGCGGTTACGAACGTCTCACTTGGGTCCATGGGGCACTCTTCCAAGAAAATCAGTATTATCAGATCAAACAAAGCTCTTATGGCTTAAAGCAAGGTTAGGCAAAGCTCAGGGGTGCAACCAGCAGGAGACTGTCCTGGCACTGCCAGGAATTGATCCTAAAGAGTCTGTCAGGCCTTTCTTTTCCCCAAATTCACCGGGTGCTTGTTGGCTTTGTGTACAGACATTTCAAAGCTTTTTTTCCCTTTGCTAGAGGAAGGGCAGGTCTTCTCCTTTCTACATCTGTCATATTGAGATTCAAGGAATTAAGACTTGAAGAGATGGTTTGTTTGTCTCAGACTGGGAGGTAGAATTTGTCCCCTGGAGTTTTGGGCTGGGGAAGACAGCCAGGCACTGCTGGGAAAGCTAAGTCTTGATACAAGCTTTATTACTGATGATTTAGTGCATTACAGATAGTTAAATAAATAGAAGCATCTAGATGAAGAATAGGATAATAGCAGCCTGCAAAGGGAAATTAAAGTCCTTGTTAAATAAAGTGAGACTGCTAGCAACGCTTCCAAAGAGAAGCAGAGATGAAGTGGAAAACGCACTGGGAATAGCTTACCCTCGTAGATAAACACATCAAGTTCCTTGGATTTTCCATTTTTCCCATATTCACCAGCCCCACAGCGGTACAAGCCTGCATCTTCCCAGTCCATCTGAGTCATCATGATGCTGAATGAGCCTGGAGAGCGCTCGAGGCTCAGCAGAACTCGCCCCCTGTAATCCGCATCAATAACATCGTCTTCGATGTTATCGATGATGTCGTGGCAACCTTCTCCCTCCATCTTGCACAGGTACTTCCTGAAGTAGGTAAATTCCTCCCCAAAGCTGCAGGTCACGGTCCAGGTGCTGTGCAGCTTCACGTAGAAGAGCTCAGCTGCCTCGGGTACATCTGGACCTGTGCATACAGAACAGTCAGGGCCAGCCGTCAGTGGAATGAAAACTGCTGTTTGCTGAGAGCAGGGAGCCCCTGCTCCACAGGCGATCTGTGGGGCCTTATTTAAAAGGGGAGGGAGGGGGGGTGTAAGAGAAGATAATACTTCAAGAAGCCCCAGAGCTGTAATCACCTTGGGAAACGCTCAGAGTGACTTTGTAGGAGAGCCCTCTGCCGTTGTCACCAACGCCACACTCGTAAGTGCCGGCGTCCGTCGGCGAGAGGGAGGAGATGCTGATCTGGAAGTTTTCTGCCTCCGGGTAGTCAGTGACGGAGATCCTGCCCTCATAGCCTGAGGAAACGTAGCCAGTGGTGGAGGCAACAGTCACACACCTCCTGCCCGACTGCCTGCACCAATATTTCCTGTCGTGTCTGTTCACAGAGGTGGGGGGGTAGAAGCACTTCACGGTCACCGACCCGCCGACCACGCCGTACACCTGCCGTGGCCCGAACACAGGGCTTAAGACTGCAAGAGGAAAACATGCTGTCTGTAAATGTCTATAAACTTCTGCCACGCAGCTCAGGCGTCCTGGGGCGGGCGTGGACCCGGGGGCTGAGCAGCGCCAGGTGCCCTGAAAAGGCCCCGTGGCAGTGGCGGGCACTGATGAGGTGAAGCTGCTCCCTGAAGGTGCCACCACAAGAGCTGTGCCCCAGGCGAGTTGCACTTACTTGTTGCCTTGGGGGGGTGTCTGCTTTTTGCAGATCCAGCTGGGAGGAGGGCAAGGAGGAAGATGAACGCTAGCAAAGCCATTTTTCTTGCATTCCCTGGGAAAGACACGGAGGTTGGTGAGTAACTCCACTTGCAAAATTTAACTTAATCACGTAAATCTTTTTTTGGTTGGAGGATATGGGGGTGGTGGCCACTTGAAGGAGAGAGAAATATAGTTTTTAATTGCTTCTGTCAAGGAATTGAATGGGAAAGAGGAAGCTGATAACTGTTCTTGCCTGTGGGTCTCATCCCAACACCCCAATCTCCCTTCTGTAATGTGAGGAGTTCCTGACTGAAGCCTGTTTTTAATTCCTGCTCTTTGTTTCCCTGGTCTCTTCAAGGACCCCTGAAAGAGAAAAATGGTAACATTTTCACCTCTACTTTTTTTTTTCCCCTCCTTTTCTCAGCTGCAGCTTAGTGAGCTGCAGGGATTTACCTCAGCCCTAGTCCTCCAAGAATCAGACATCAACCAAGTAAAGCCCTGTCCCACCTGTCCAACCTACTGCACACAAATTAACCCTTGGCCAGGATCCAGCGATGGGCAACAACCAACCAAGCTGCACCTCTTGAAATACGTCCATAATCTTCAGGATGAATATTTCTGACCTTCCTTTTGGTTTGGGCAGAGTGATGGCTCAGAGGAAACCAAGGCTCTCCATTGACTCGAGTGTTTTCTTTGGCCTGAACTGCCTGTGCTGTTGGACACTGCCCAGTGCAGGGATGGGAATGTGCATTTCCCGAGCATGGCTCTTGATCTCCCTGCCTGTTCCAAGTTCATAGAATACACTGGGCTGGAAGAGACCCATCAGAGATGATGAGAGGTGCCAAGGAAAATCTTTATGAACAATCAGAGGAATCTGAGTTCAGGGCATCAAGTGACACTATTTTATTAAGGGTAATTCCCGGCAGAAGAAAAAGGGGTTTTATTTCCCTGTTAAGATGAAAGGTGTTCTGTTGTGCCTTCTTCCTTGTATTGTGATTTCCATTTGCTCAATGGCTACTTGTCCATGGCTAATAATTAACTCACTGAGCATGAAAAATGCTCTTTCATACATATCCCAGCAGTAGCCAGCAAGATAAACACGACATATTCTGCAGAAAGCAAACACCATGGCACAAAGAGGGCCTTGATATTTGCCCCTGGCTAACCAGCAGTAGATGTGGTATGAGAGCTCTCTGCCTGTGTTTCCTAATCTACAGTGTGTGGACACTTTCCTGGTTCAGCACTATGGGATTGACCTAAGTTGGGACCATCACCTTCCTCTCCAGCACTGTTGTATGCTTGCATTGTGATATTTTCCACATTTCCAGCTGCAAGTGCTCTCTGACCAGGTTGGCTCTTCCAAACCTCAGCCATGACAAGCCCTTCCCTGCATTTCTGTTGTGCTTTTGGGAATCTGTCACTCCCAGGGAGGAATATCTTCAGGCTTACAATGATTTGGAAGAGAGCAGGACCTGATCCCTGAACTGTGCAAACCTGAGCAAGCAGCTGCACTGGCTGGGTATGAAATACCAGAGTCCAGTTCCCAAATTCTGCTGACTCAGCTGCACCAGGAGCATGCCAGCTTCTCAGAGCTCCTGGTGGAAGTTGCCAGGGATCAGCACAGTCCAACCCATTAGCTATTAACTACTGCTCTTAACAATGACCAGTGTCAAGGCCGTGCTGTGGGATCGACAAAACACGAGGATTTAGTCGTGACATTTGTCCTTCCAGCCTGGGATCCCTTCTGTTTTGTGGAATGCTTGCTGTTATTCAAATAGTTGAAGACATAATAACATATAGGTAACATAGATACTTTATATATAGGTAGTATTTTCCCCCTCCCCGAAATCATTTTAAATCAAAACCAGCATTAGGAGTTTCACTGGGAGGAGAAGCACTGGCATTTGTGCTGGGGGTGATTTATGGAGGTGCTGAAGACCTCTGTGCCCCCCAAAAAGGGCACAGCAACAGATTCTTCCTGCACAGGACTGGGTTATCCACACCTTTATGTTGCTCATCAAGGTCACTGCAAACTCAACTTACTGTGAGTTTTGTTTGCTGCAGTAGGATGTGGAAAAGCCACCATTCCACCCCATTTTCGTGGAGTTAAGAATGAGGAATCGACTCTCAGATAAAAGATAAACACTGCCCTGCATGAGCAATATGTTCCAGAAAAGAAATGACACAGAATAATCAGACAACCCTCATGGCGGGGACTGAAATCCCAGCTGAGATCGTGCTGCTGGCCTAATTTTATGTTCCTTTAAGCTGTTAGATTCATCAGCATGTGTCCTAATTTTATATTCCTTCAAGGTGTCAGGTACCCCAGGCACCAACCTGTTGCTTTTCAGATAAGAGTGTTGTGGTTCATGTGTTCCTTGGGCTGGAAAGTGAAAACAACTTGGACACTGTTAAATATTCTATAGTTTAATTCTGCTCCTACTGCAGGGAGCAGGAACATCCTGAGGCCCAACTCACTGCACAGCCCAGTCTGGGTGGACAGTGCCAGTGCAGGATTCATTAACAATTAGGAGGTGATATTTCTCCGTACTTCAGATGGAGGTTTTGCCTGTTGTAATTCAAAAGACTCTAATGACCTTAGGCTGAGTAGCAAAGCTTTAGGTTGCTACAGTAATATTTACTAACATTTGTTATTTTCTATGCTAATATTTAATGCAAATATTGTAACGACAGTTATCCTTTTTTTTTTTTTTTTTTTTCAGAGAGGAAAGATTAAAAAAACTACTGCAGAGAAGCAAACATAACTGTCATAACCCTGTTCCTATGCTTTTGGCCTTCTTTCACAAGAAATCAGCCTCCCACCAGTGAGACCTGCTGGTTCAGAGCTGCTGCTTCCCTAAACTTGTGAGGAAGAGCCCTCAAAAGAGGCTCCAGACTGTTGCTCTTCTCCTTCCCCATCTCAAAGAGGTAGTGAGAAAGATTTTGCATTTCCAAAAGACAATGAAGCAGCATTACTTACACCTTCAGTTCCCTCTGCAGGATTTTGTTTTGCTTTTCTTTCTGAAGGCTCTCGCTTCGCTGGTGACCCTGGGACCTTCTGTGAGTGTCCTGCCTGCCTGTCCCAGCAGGACGAGGGCTCTGGCAGTGCCAGGCTGGCTTAAATACGCCTTTGGTCCTGCATTTCCACCTGTTGTGCCTTAAAGGAATAGCATCCAAAAGCTCTGGCAGGTGAGCACCAGCCCACGTGAGAGCCGGGAAGCCAATGCCTGGCCTGGCTCTGCTGTCACTCTGAGGGTGCACCCTCTTATTTACCTCCTGATTACACACCCCCCATTGCACAACAGCCACCCCAAGGGTGGGTGGGCTCCCAGGAATGGTCCAGGGCACCTCTGGCTCCTTCAGGAAGGAGTCTCCATGGGGTCAAGTCCGTGGAGCATCTTCCAGGCAGATTTTTGCTTGGACAGGAGCCAGGCAGCCTTGGTTTGAGGATGGTACCTCTGCCTGGCACAAAGACACTGGGGAGCCTTAGGGAGTCTAATTTTGAGTCCCCTCAGCCTGGTGGGAAGAGCAGGAGTCTTGGTGAGCAAAGTTGGTCTTGTCTGCGAAGACCAAGAACATTGCAAGCTCTTTAAAATCAAAAATAATTAACAGGAGCTTTGCCTTCATCTCCCACCTCATTTCTTTGCTCTCCTGCTGTGGGCATGTCAGGAGCCCAAATATAAATTCCCTGCGAGGTGTGAGGTTGTCAGAAATGAGAAACAAAGTAAAAGTAATGAAGATGAAAATATTTGTGTGACTTGGGGATGAATCATTAACCTGCTTTGCCTTGTACTAACAATTCAAAAGCAGTAGTTCCTTCCAACCAGGGGGTCACACAGAGCTCTCCTCATCTGCTCTCAGTGAGAGCTGAAGAGTTTGAACAGGATGGCAGCTCCAGCTGTTCTTGCTCCGCCTGGGAGCAGCAAGATCCTGACCTGGAGTTGGGATCTTTAAGAAATTTCTCGGATCTTAAAGCCAGCCTTGGAAATAACTTTGATTTAGCCAAGGGTGCTCCTCATGCAAATACATTTCCTTGCTTTAACACACGAGGAAATGTTCTCCTGCCAAGTCACAGGTTCCAAAGCATTTTGGCATCTCCAGAAAACAAACAACCTTCGGATTGCTTTTACTGGGGGGGGAGGAGAGGGGAGTGGGCAAAGCCCAATTTGCAGCACGACACACAACCTGAGAGCTCAAACCAAAGCTGCTGTTTGGGGCTGGGCAGTGTTTGGGCTGAACTGGTTTGGTTTCGAAGCTGGGGATGGTTCTGCAGAGGGGGGTGAAGGGAAAACAGCGCTTGGGAACGTGGGGTGTCTCATAAACTGAAATCAGAGGTGGTTTGTGTGTTGCAAAATGACCCAATGGGTCAGGTTTTTCAATTAAAAAAAAAAAAAAAAAACAACAGAAAATCCTTATTTTTTGAGCAACCTGGGCTACTGGGAGGTGTGGAACAAGATGAGCTTTAAGGTCCCTTCCAACCCAAACCAGTCTGTGATTCTCTGATTTTTTTGACTCTCACTGAGCCACCCTGAAGGACCATGAGGGTCCTTCCCTCCCATGACCTTTCCCTTGGGATTCTCTGCCCCCAAAGAGCCAGGTTGCAGATGCTTTATTTTATTCTCTGTTCTGCAAAGCACATGACCAGTGCCACTTGGGGATTCAGCTCTCAGTAAAGGGAATTTGGGTTCTGAGCAGGATAGGGAGCAACGAGGGGTTCTTGGTTGGCTTTTCATCGGGAAACTTCCCAGCTCGTGCACAGGGGGGGCCTTCACAGCAGGTTCTGGCTCAAGTCTTCATCAGTCACCTTGAAAAGCAGTTTTTCCCCATAGGGTGGCTGTAAAATAACAAAACACAAGGAAAGCTGTGATCTGCTGTTGCCTCTTTTCAATATTTTTGCAAGTGATTTCATGGGCTTTTCTGTTTTTCTGCCAAACTTGGTGTTTTAAAGGGGTCTGATATTTTAGGGAGTCCTGAGAACAGAAAGCTGGGAAAACCTGGCTCAGAGGGGAATATCTGGAGTCAACCTCCTGCTCAGATTAAGGGGAGAATTTTTTCACAGAATATTGATTGCTTATTTTCAAGATTTTAGGGGAGATGTCCTTTTTTTCTTCCCATTATTTAGATTTAGGACCCCTTTTGGCTCTCAGTGTAATGAGAATATGAAATCCCACCAACAAATTTTTGAACCATTATTTCAAATTTTTTTTTTTTTTAAGAAGAAATTCTCACTGATACAAATCTCCACAGATCAGAGGTTTTTAAAAGACTTTTTAAGGTGTTTTCTAAATGAACTCCTCTTTAGAGAATATTAACATTCTGAGGCAGACCCTCTGTATTTATATTTTGCCAGAAGACAGAGACTCTTACACATAAATTGGTGATCCTGAATCTTCCAAGGATAGCATAGATTTTCCTGCACAGTAGGAGAGAAAAGAATTATATTGTTGCAACACAGGGAACAATAATCACTTCTGTGGAATACTGAAAAAGGTGATAAGCAATAAGATTTCACTGGAACAAGCAGGAAGAGCGATAACAGGTTTACTACACGTAAGCAAAAATTATAATCAAGCCTATAATAAATTTATGAACTTTATATAGGATTTAATCCAAGTCTTTTGAAATCTATGGCTCAACATTTCTGGGTAAGGAGCAAAGGCAGTAGTTTGGCAGCAGAACACAAGTCCTGGACTGTGGATTGCAATTCCTGGACTGCAAACCTCGTGTCTCTCCCTTGGAGGTATTTTACTTACTAAGCCACGAGTTCCCTGCCTAAAATTTGGGGTTTATTCTCTTCTAACCGGTGAGATGACACAGTGCCCGTTCCAGAAAACACCCACCTACATTTGCCAGAGTCCATCTTGCATTCCTGCACTTTTCCTGGACTCGAGGTTTCCTCCACTGTTTGCTCTTTTGCAGGACTTGGACCAGCCTGAGCTGTTGCTGCCTCCAGGTTTCCAGTGGTGCTTCTTTCTACTCCTTTAAAACAAAAACACATGGATGCACTGGAGGGAGCACCTCCATTAATGCCTCTTTAAGTATTCCAAGCACCAGATTAGGGCCATTGTTTCCCAGTTTCATTCTTGTGAAAAATGTATTCCCTCTCACTGCTGAAGGTTTTCCGTCCCTAAATTTACCTCTACAGACATAATATGTTCTGGGATAAGATACATGCATGTATTTTTTAAAAATAAATCATTAGAAGGGATTTGGGGGCCTTTCTTTGTGTGTTTTGCACTGGATTTGGCCCCAGAAACTGCTCAGGCCACGCAGGTCCCTGCTCTTTGTACCTCAGGATTTCCGAGCACTCGCGGTGCCACAAATCTTCTACCCCCAAAAACCCAAACCTTGCTTTCATCAGAGCTTCAGGATTTCCATTTCCTTCATTTGCTTTTTGGTTAAGCATATTTAAAAAAAAAAAAAAAGAAAAAAAAAAGCCAAACAACTTCTGGAGGACTTTTTTGCTTGCTTGCACTGCCAGCTGTGCTTTCAGCCTGCACTGGCCACACAACGGACACGTGTCCCCAGAGGTGGAAATATTCCATGGGTCAGACTCCAGCTCTTGGAAATCACAAAGCCAAAGCCCCTGCAAAACGACCTCTGCAGCCCAAAAGGTGTTGCCTGGCCAACTTACCCCTCTTCTTTCGAAGTTTTATTTTGACCAGGGTGAGAAGAGTGATGGTGATGCCAATCAGCAAAGCAAGAGCTGGCAGCACAACTGGGAGCAGACGGGATTCACCTGAGGAGCTGGAAAGATGAATCACCAGAATTAAACAGAATTTTGGTTCCCCTATGTGCAGGCTGTTGTTTTTACCCCAAAGAGTATAAAGGTGTTATAAACTCCAAGTGATTCAAAGAACAGCCAACAAAGTCGAGTTGAAATCACTTGAACTGGAGTTTATCTCAGGAGGAAGTAATTTCTACATCTACCTCTGCTCTGCTGTGTGGGGTTTGTGCTGCCAGCCCCTCCAAAAGGAAAACAAGCTGTTTTCATGACACAAATTCACAAGCAAGGTCCACACACCCTTTCTGTGAGCTGTTAGGGACCCTGACGCTGTTGGAAGGTGTTGCAAAAATGTTATTCATGCTATCAGAGCTCCCCAAGCAGAGGGGGCTTTGCCAGGAATGGGGGGAAAATCTGAGCCTTTATACAAGATTTGCATGATTTGTGATTAGTAACATCCTCCCCCCTCCTCCTTCTGGCTGGATGGGTGGGAGACGTGGCTTGGAGGGGGCTGGGGATGGAGAGCCATCCTGCCTAACAGGAAGCACAGAAGGTAAATTCACTGGGAAACCACTTGAGCCCCAGGCCTTGGTGTGGACAACTGCCACGGAATAATTACTGGCCAAAATACCCACAGCCTTCTGATTAACCCTGTCCAAAGACAACTGCTGATGCAACACCGGGCACCCAACACTGCCCGGGTTAGTGGCTGCTGCAGGGGCTTGGATAAGGTGGTGTGCACTCAAGTGTGCAGCAGGTTCAGATTCACCAGGTTGTTGCTCAAGCCTGATGTTTCCCAAGGTCCTGTCTCTGCACTGAGCAAAGCAAACCAGACAGGAGCACATCTGTTGACTCTGGCACCTGGTCCACAGGAGAGGGCAGCACCAGAAGGTTTGCAGACAAGCTCAAAGAGAAGTGTACATGGACATGAGGCAACCTTGCCTTCTGCTCTGCTGACTTCCAATGTCTCCTGCAGGTGTTTTCGACTTGCAACCTGCGCACAACCCCTCTGTAGGGCCCTGGGAAATGGGGCAGGCAGGTCATAAACCACCAGGTCAGTGCCAATGTGGCTGTGGAATTACCTCTCCTGATAGGTTTCAGCTGGGGAGGTTCCAGAGGTGCCAGGGGTGGCAGTGGGCAGCAGGGTGCTGGTTGTCTTGGTGACAGTGCCCACCGTGGTGCTCCTGGTGGCAGTGCCCATCACGTACACCAGGCCTGTGATTCTCCTCTTTGTGGGTGTGCTGGAGGCAGCCGGACTTGATGAAGTGGACTGGACAGGAGTGGTGGTTTCTGGGTCTCGTGAAGAGCAGATTTCTACAGAGAACATTATTTTTAGGCTTTAATATCTGTCTCTTTGCTGAGGCTACGTGTTAGAGCTGCCAAAGCTTTGTGCATTTCACCTTGCAACTCGGCATGAAAAAAAAAAAAAAAACAGACCCAAGCATTTTCTGTTTGACTCTCACAGAAAGCAGCTTGGGCAGGGACCTGAAAGATCACCCCTGTTTGTGTTCCAGGCCACCCCACCACCTACCCTTCTGGATGTGCAGCTTCACAGAGGACGTGTGCTCTGTGTGCCCACTCTTAGCCCTGCACCAGTACCAGCCTGAGTCCTCCTCTCTCAGCTGGCTCATCAGCACCGTGTAGGTCCCGTGCTCGGGGTCGCTGCGGGTCGTTTGGATCCGCCCTTTGTAGGACTCGTGCACAAACCCGTCGGTGTCCAGGAGCAGGGAGCAGCTCCCTTCCTCCCACCTGCACAGATACTTCTTCTCGTAGCTCCCCTCGGGGTCATGGTGGCACTGGAAGGACAGCGAGCCTCCCACTGTGCCGCTGAGAAATTTGGATCTCCTGGGAAGAGCGGAGGCTGCAGGTTGGAGGGGACAGAATTGGTGTTTAATACTCCTCATCCGGCGCTGCGAGGAACCTGTGCAGCCCCCCATGCCCTGTCCTACCTGTGGTCACCTGCAGAGCCACCTCCTGTGGGCTGTCCCCACCATCCAGCCTTTCCACCCCACACAGGTACAGCCCCGAGTCTTCCTTTGTTAGGTCATTTATCAGGACTTTGAAAGCTCCAGAGCTCTCCCGAGGGGTGATGAAGATTCGTCCGTGGTATCTCCTTTCCACGTAGCCGTCGGAGTCGGCCAGGAGAGTGCAGCTGGTTCTTCCCACTTTGCACCAGAACCTCCTCCCACCGCTTTGGGTGTCCCCAGAGGGGCACAGGACTGTGACAGAGCCACGGAGCTTCCCCTGGACGACCTGGATGGGCCTCGACACAGGGGCATCTGCAGGGAGAGAGCAGGACAGGGACTGTCCAGCACACAGCCAGGTCAGGGAGAGTTTCCTCCTACATATATGAACAGCTGATTTGTCCAAACCTCTTTGCTGTCACACCTCATTATTGTAAGTATATGGCTAACACATGGTGGGGTACAAAAAGCTGATACACCCGCTGTGCGTGGACGCTCCAGCACCTGATCCCAAACCGCTCGTGGTTGCAGCAGAGCCTCCCCCTGTCCCCCACCCACCTGCCCAAACTTACCTGGCAGAACCGTCAGGTTCAGGCTGACGTGCAGGCCCCCCCTGGTGGGGCCGATGCCACAGCGGTACCTGCCCGTGTCGCTGCTCCTCAGCCCTGTCATCGTCACCGCGAAGGTGCCGTTCTGGGGGATGTCCTGCAGGGACAGCCGCCCCTCGTACTCCCGGGAGGCGGGGGCGGTTGAGGAGATGATGGTGTAGCAGACCCCGTTTTCTGCTACCTTGCACCAGTACTTTCGGTCGTGTTTGTTGGCTGGTGTGATGGAGTAGAAGCACTGGTGGGTGACGGAGCCTCCGAGCCCACCTGTCAAAAACCTGGGGCCGTACAGGCTGCCTGAAACCGGCTCTTTGGGGGAGAGAAAGAAGGAGAAAAACCGCTGTTGGTTACTCAGAGACAACCAGATCCCACCTGGCAAACCCAGCCCCTTCGAGTCGGGGGGGGTGATTCTGAGTGGCACCAGTGGGACATCTGGCTCAGAGAGCCCACAGTTTATTTTGGATGGGGTGTGCTCCCTTCCCTCAGGGCTGCATCACCTATCTACACCGTGGCACAGATGGGGAGACCCTTCATGCCCCTCACAGGATCCCCTAGATCCCCAACCAGCCCTGGAGTTAAAGGTCGAGGGCAGCAGTTCATGGCAAACACCTAAAAATAACCTTTGGCTTTTGCAAACTCTGCCTTGACCCGGCAACTTCCTGCAGATGCTGCAGTGAGAGCAATGGAGAGCTGGGATTCTCCTCCCAGCTCTTGTGCCACGCTTTGCTGCCTCTCTGCAGATTTCTAGTGGGCAGGGAGGGTGGCTCGACTGGTTTCCATGTTGCAGGTGGATGTGTCTGGTGTCCAAGCGAGGATTTAGCCAGAAGAACACGGGCCTGTGTCCCCAGTTCCATCTTTACCTGTTCTTATCACTGTAGCTGGCTGGACACCTGGTTTCTTGGTGACTCACCTTGCAGCAAAGCTGCCAAGAGAAGGACAACCACCATGTCCATCCTCCACGAGGGTCCACTCAGCAAACTTCAAAAATCTCACTCCGGGGGTGGGATTTTGCTGATTTCTGTGTTATCAAACAGAAGGGAGAGAGACTGTGGCTGGGATCTGCCGAGGTAAACCTCTGGATTGCTCTGACAGGCATTTGGAGCAGATAGGGCTGGAGAAATGTTCTCTTCCCCTCCTTCCACTGCAGGCTGGGAGGGGGGTCCAGCTGGCCCAGGATCCCCTTTGGGCAGTTCCCCTCCAGGTTTTCCCCGTTTCTGAGGCAGCTCTGCAGGGGGATGTGTGTGTGTGTGTGTGTGTGTGTGTGTGCACAGCTGCCCAACCACATCTGCCTGCACAGCCCAGCTTTCTGTGCCCAGCAGAGGGCCAGGAGGATGTTCCAGTCCCCCACCAGCTCTGGGCAGTGGGTTCAGCAGAGCCTCAGGAGTTCCCTCATTGCAGCCACGGGAGGGGTGACTCGAAAAATGGGGATTTTTCACTCAGTGCCATCACTCCCACCAATCTGGAGGGCTTGAAGCGACAAAAAGCTGACAAGAATGAGCTGAATGTCCTTGTTTACATCAGGAAAAATGTTATCCCTGTGCTTATTTAATCTTTCCTGATGTACAGCACTGCAGCTGAGCCGGTGCACTCCCTCTTTTCCTCATTTTTAGGATTAATATCAGCAGGACAGAGCTGTCAGCTACATTTTAACTTCATTTAATCTTAGGCTTTAGGCAAGGAGGTGTTCCAGCAAATAGACATTAAATACAAAGAAGAAAGTGAAAAAACAAGATCCATGTAAATCCCAGAAGTAAACCATATATGATTGGGTTTTTTTTCCTTGTCCTCATTTCAGTTTTATATTGTGAAAATATTTATATGATCAATTTTCTGCACCTGCCTGATTAAACCAATTATCCTGCCCCCATCCATAAATGGCCTATATAACTGGGCAGTCTCTCTGTGTGTGGATTTTTATAAATAAAATTGGCCATATAATTTTTAGTGGTCAAAAAGAGGCAGTAATTTATTTTAGAGCTTTAAAAAGGAAAAAAAAATTAAGGCAAACTACCTTAAAAGAAGAAAAATCACTATAAATGAGCTCTAATACCTTTATTGCTATGGAAATAATTACTTTAAATTTCAGATCCTTTACATACCACAGATGAAATCCCTCAAAGTATCTCATATAATCACTGTACATTGTTCTCCAAACAACAGTATTTTAAGGGCAAATTGAGGCTCACCTACCTTAGACTGTGATGCTTCTGGTGCTGGAAATCTTCTCCTGCTCTGCTTCCAAATGGAATTCAGTTTATTAGAGTGGGTTTTGCAGCTTGCAGCTCAGTTAGTCTTTGCTCACCTCTCGATGTTTAATTCTTTTTTCCATATATTGATGTTCAGAATTTAAAAATGGGTGCACCGAAAGTTTTCTCCAATCTAGATGTGCATTGCTGAGCAAAGTGGGAGATGGTCGAAATGCTTGGAGGAAGAGCAGAGATGCCCCCAATATACTGAGCATGGAACCCCAAGATGGTCATTTTTAGCCATAATGACGTGGGTGGCATCATGGAAGGGGGAAAAAGAAAAGGTGAAGAGGTCAGGAGCAGAAAGTGCAAGAGTCTGAGAGGAATTCCCCTGCCCTGCAGACAAAATACTTCAGCATAATACACCTGTCTCTAAACATTTTTAGTTAAATGTTGCATTCTGTGAGCCACTTCCAGGCAGAACTTCACAGCAAGTAAGAACTTTGTTCATGTTTCCTCAAACAACTGTGGTTTGAGGGGACCCAAGTGCTTCATGGAGCTTGTGCCTGTCTTTTGATCCTGGACTTTTTCTGAATCCAAGACAAAAAAGGTGGTTTCTGCTTCAACACCTGCTGTAAAACAGTCCTGCTTTAGAGTTGGGTCGTTTGTCTGTCTGTTTTTTTGCCTTGCCAGTCCACGTTTGATTTATCTCTGAATTTAATCTTGCTGCATTCTAACCATTGTATATTTAAAATCTGCCAGCTGGTGGGTTTTGTTGCCACGGGAAAGGCACCACCATCCAGCACCAAACCCAGAGCTCTGCACAGGTCCCACCAAACCCCAGGTATGTTTGTGACAATTACAGTTTATTTTGGGGTGATGGCCATTCCCATGGCTTCACAGGACCTGAAGATGCAACTAAGGGAGGTTTGTTCCTGCACACACACAGCTTCTCTTTTGCACTAAGTAAATAATCTTAATTGAGAGAGGTGCAGACACACTGATATCCTCAGAACTGTGGAGGCATTTCACAGTTTGTGTTACTGAGAGGGACTTTGGTCTGCTTTTCCTTCAGATAAAAATGATTGATCGCAAACAAAAATCTACCTGTGTCACTTCTGAGAATGCCCTGGGCTGGTTCCAGCACTCTGTGTGTCTCCAGGATTTGCAGGATAACACTCACTGTGTGAGAAGTGTGTGGGGTTCAGAGGGGGACTGATAGAAACCTGTTGTGCCCTGATTCTGCTGGAGGGTATGAAGTTCTGCTCTTCCCCTCTTGGGTGCAGACAGGCTTTGAAGGCCAGACTGCTTTCTGTGTAAAACAATCTTTGAAGCACTTTGGAATGTCCCTGCCTGAAGATAAATCTCTGTTGAATAGTTTTGCCTCCTTTATCGTGATATGATTACTTATATTGCAGTAATTGTTGTGTTTTGTACCAAACCTGTGCCATAAACTCCCCAATATTGGCTGGGCTTCAGCACAACTAATCAGTCTGAGGACATTTATTGCCACACCAGTAGCAAAGCAATAGAATTGTCCTTGTATTAGCAATAAAATGGAATACAATAAAGTGGGAACCCCCTAAGACTACTCAGTGTTATTTTATAGAATCACAGAAAGTCAGGGAAAGGTTTGGGTTGGAGGGGACCTTAAAGCTCATGTCATTCCAACCCCCTTTAAACAAAAAGAGAAAATAAAACCAGCAGGGGCAGCACTGGAAGCAACCAGGGGATCTCTCAGCATCGTTCCCAAGGCAGCTGGGAGCAGAGGGCAGGGAGGATGGATCCATCAGGGAACAGTGATGGCAGCACATGGAAAGGACCCTCCTGAGGGAGTACCACTGTCTTACACCTTCTACTACTAAAGGAGAGCTAGGTTTTACAGAATTTATTCTTCTGGGCTATGCTTGTTAAGGGAATTTCCTTCCTATAACATGTGCTGGCAGGTGGCTTATTTTCTGTGTGAGCAGCGTGGCAACACCGGAGCTCCAGGCCCACGTGTTTCCCCACTGAGCAGTTGTGGAGGTGGCTGTCAGCACCTCAGCACAGCCTGTCTGCAGTCAGAGGTGTAATTAATAAATGGGAACAACCCCTGCCTGCTCCACGGTGCCCGCAGGAGTTGATGATTAAACCCCAGCGAGGGCAGCGCCGCTCGGAACGAGCCAGATCTGTTCCTGCTGCACAAATCCCTGTGCAAAGAACAACAGTGCCCCTTTCTGTCACTTCCTGGACTTCAAAGTTAAAGGTTGGTTTTGTTGTGGGTTGGTTGTTTTGTTTTGTTTTGTTTTGTTTTTAATTTCAAAGGAGCAGGATTTGCCCTGGTTGGCTGCTGTAAAATGAGAGATGCCCTGGTGATGCTGGGGGCTGATGAGCTGGGCTCAGCTCTGTGACTGGCCTTTGGGGCACGGGGACCTGGGGCAGGTTGACAGGAGCTGAACCCCAGCAGCACTTCTGCCGTGCCTGACTCCATAAAAAACCCTAATTTATCATAAGCACCAAGAGGCTTGCAGGCTTTCAGGATGCCCCCCCAGGGATTGTGGCACTGCTGCCAAAGCAGCAGCCTGTTGTGTCAGACACAGCACACGGCTGGATGGGTCCCCACCCCACTGTCCTGCTCACGTCCAGGGGCTGGGCTCCACTGCCTCCCTCTTTGTGTGGTCACTGATGGTGGCTGGGGCAGCAGGAATGCAAAGGGCCATGGCACTGGCACAGGAACATCCCACAGCTCCTCCATCAGCCTTGCATGACTGCAATACCAGCACAAAGCACCAGGCAAAGCATGGAAATTATCCTGATGATGAAGCAGAGAGTCCACATTCCTTGAAATAAGGGCAATTTATCCCTCCTTCATGTTGGAGTAGTTGGAGCTGGAGTGGGTCCTTCTCTCCACCTGCACATGAGCAGGGAAAGGGCAGGGCCTCAGCTGCCAAGTACTGCCCAAATCATGCTGGAATGGGGTTAAAGACCCTCAGACATCTCCAGGCCTCTGGAGATGTGTTGGTCCAGCAGATTCCAACCCCCCTTCCCAACCTCCCACGGGGCACCAGCCCCAAGGCTCCAGCTGACACTGCCCCAAAGCTGCTGCACAGGCACCAAGTCTGTTATTAGGAGGAGTGATTCCTCCTGCAGACTGTTGGCCCAGCACAGCTGATGTTCTCTGAGACTGGCAGAATTTAACAAACCACTTCTCCTGAATTTTTGTAATGAAAGATGTGCACCAGGATGCTTTTAATTGGGATAGTAGGTCTTGACAGGCTCACGCAGACATGGAAATGATATGTCTGAGCCAGTGTGGGGCTGATAGTTAAGAAGAAGATGAATATTCTGTGCAAAATGCAAAGCTGAGTGTTTTCTTTAGGTCTTTTTTAACATCGTTGTGCCACATAAACACAGTCTGTATAATCTGCATTAAGGCATTGAGGGTACATGGGAGGCATTGTGGGATGGGATGAGCTTTAAGGTCCCTTCCAACTCAAACCATTCCATGATTACATGATAATGATAAACCAAGTGCCTTTGTTCCTGACAGGCAGTTTAGTTTTCAAATTAATGTAAGCTTTCTTCAGAGAGAGAGGCTGACCCATGGGGGCGACTGCACTAAACAATTTACTGATGGTAATTAAATGCTTGCAGCATTAAGTTCCATTCAGTCGTTTTCATCACTGACCTTGCAGCACCATCACCCTTCCAAGACAGTCTTTGAATACTAAACAGGCTCATACCCAGAGCCAGGCTCCTAATTCCTCTCCAAACAAGCATCACTGGAG